GTTCTGACTCTGTGTATATGTTCAGTGCTTGATGACAATACTTGCTTGATGAAGGTCATTTGATTATTTTATTTAATATTTCACTTAAAGGGAAACACAGCTGGAGGAGAAACTGTGGATATGATGGAGCGAACATAATGAACAGCAGCAGGTGAGACAGCAGCGTGCTCTACATTGAAATATTCATTAATTGAGGACTGTATAGACACTTTCAGACATGACCTCTGGAGGACGTCTSCAGAATTGGGTCCAGACTCTCTCCAGCTTTGTCTTTAACACATGAACAACGCAGCAMGAGATTCTTTTATAGAACTCGTTCACATCAACACAAATCTCTGGAGCGTTCAGGTGAGGGGTGGCCCAATAGTCAGAGGCAGGATGTAACATAATAACTGCTGCAGAGATTTTCTCTTTGTATTTGTATTTTTGCGTCTGTAGCATGTTTGAAGCATCATCAGCACACCTATCCTGCTGTATCGACACATTAGGTAGAGTTTTAGGGAAACATCCAGCCCCTCTGGAGAATGTCAGGAGATTGTCTGGAGTCCAGTGCATGTCTGAAAGTGGCCTAAGATTGATCTGACTTTACTCTGTGAAGTCTGTACACATGTACAAGAGGTTTCCATTTTAATTCAACATATTTCTTTCCTCAGCAAAAGTGATGAACCTGCAGAGAACCAGTAAACTGCCACTGTTCACTGCAGAGTGAATGTGCTCTAGAATCCAGGTATATCCCTCTGGGTTCTGGTACATTGTTTTTGCAGGGTACAGAAAAAACCACTGCTCTGTTTCACATCACTTCACAGATGTCACTGCACCCAAACTACAGTGAGCTGGGAATATGAAACTTGGAGCATGTTTATTAAAACTGCCTGAATCTCCTGCTGACAGTGAGTGAGCTGCACGTGCCTCAACACTCAGACTTCATGATCCTCTGTGGAGAGATAACTCACAGCTGGATCTGGAATATCATTTCTAAGTGCTGGCACAGTGGCATGATGGGACAAATGGCCACCCTCAGTGCATGAACTGAGATTATTGTCGTATTCTTTTATTGTGTTTTATTTTCTTCACAACAGACACTTGTATCTTGGAAGGACAAGCATTAAATAGCATATTTACCATGTAAGTATGTTTCACTGTGAGGTATCAGCACAGTGGTGTGATGTTGGTGCTGTCGCCTCACKTCAAGGAGGGTCCCGCTTCGAATGGCTCCAGCTCTCCCCACAACCCTTCAAGGAAAAGCATTATAGATGATGGATGTCTGTGAGTTGTGATATGAAATGTCAGCAGGCGGTCTGCCCCTTTAATTCATCACAATCTGATGATTCGTTTTAATGATTCAAAAACACTGTTCAGTGTTTATGAAGCTGTACAGATCTTAATGCTCGGTTATGTTGAAGCCTTCTTTGGACTTTTATTGTGAAAATACACATGTATGTTCGTATGATTAGCACTTCTATCATAGCACTTWWACACTTAAAGAATATTTCACAAGTAGCAGGTATGATCCTCAGATGAGGGCTTGACAATTGTTTCTATATTTCCTTTTACCCCATCGACRGTGAYATGTTGTGGTTTCTCTCTTCTCTCTCTTGTGACAGAYGTACTTATTGTAACTCGCTTTGGACAAAGCATCTGATAAATGTGCTAAATGTAAATGTGAATTTATTTACCTTTCTAAATGTGTGTTTGAGTGAAGATTCTGGGTTTTACCTSTAAACATCTGTTTGAAACACAGATGTCTCTTTCTAAACAGAAGAGTGTAACACTGGGGGACATTCAGTGCAGATGGACAAAATAGAGTAGATGTAGTACCAGAGTCTGGTTCGTAGTAGTATCTGTTACTAAGCAATATTATTAGGCTCTATGACACCATTAGATCATTATACTGAAGCAGCTGTGTAACCTGTTTTATATACAGCSATGTTAGATATGTTGTGAAAGCATTTGAAAACTTCAGAGGGGACAAGCTTTTAACAACTCAGACATTTGAAATAAGTAAATTTCTTTTTCAAAACCACTGTTTTAGTTTTTAACAATGTGATTTAACAGCTTGTTATATTGTCTATCAAAGAAATTAAACCAGATGTTTGTGTTTCATAAATTTGGTTAAAACCTTCACTGAGTTGAGTGAATGGATTTACAGTGATCTGGAAAGACAGAGAACATGGTGGAGGAGCGGGTTGTGCTATATTMATTTTACAAGATATTCCATRCAGGCTGCTAGAAAAGGTTAGWGAGCAGGAATATACACTCACTGACCACTTTATTAGGTACACCTTGCTAGTACTGGGTTGGACCCCTTTTGCCTTCAGAACTGCTTTAATTCCTCATAGCATAGATTCAACAAGGTGKTGGAAACAGTCCTCAGAGATGTTGGTCCATATCGACATGATGGCATCACGCAGTTGCTGCAGATTTGTCAGCTGCACATCCATGATGCGAATCTTCCGTYCCACCACATCCTGCTGTATTGAATTGAGATCCAGTGACTGTGGAGGCCACTGGAGTACAGTGAACTCATYGTCATGTTCAACAAACCAGTTTGAGATGATGTRAGCTTTGTGACATGGTGCATTATCCTGCTGGAARTARCCRTCAGAAGATGGGCACACTGTGGTCATAAAGGGATGGACATGGTCAGCWACAATACTCAGGTAGGCCGTGGCATTTCAACGATGCTGAATTCTCTTTGGCTGGAGTTAGTAGCTGGAAGGTTTGGACAGCTGCAACAGTTGGTATCGATCACTCCCCTGTGTCTTGTGCAGTGGGTGAAAAAATAGAAGTGAGAGCAGGGGGGGTGGGGGGTTCTCCCAAAATGGGTCTTTGGGACAGCTGATTTGGTCAAGTTCCAGAGGTTAAGTGAGGAAGCAATGGAAGGGATTGATATGTTTGGAGATGTAGATGAAAGTTTCCTCAGCAATTGTCTTGAGGAATAAGAAACTGGTACCATGGTGGATATAGGKGTATCAGGAGGCTGTAGGAAACAGGAACAGCACATTCAGTTGATCAAATATAAGACGGCTCAGGCAGTGGGGAGTTTGTTGAAGACCGTTATAGTTACTCGGGGGGGCAGTGGCAACAGGAGAGAGGAAACTAGGTTGAGGTTARGACACTGTGCACCAAACAAAACCTTTAGCCTTGTTGGTCTATACAGAAAAGGACATAAGAAATTCCCAAAAAGAAACAAAATGAATAAACACYAATGGATAAAACAGACAGTGTAAAACAAACTAATGAAACATCTTAGGTTATTACAAGGGCAAAATATAAGTTCCTCTATGTAGCATAATTAGACAGTGTTCCAATGCCTCTATGCTCTTACCCAAGAGGTGCGAGAACTTGTGAGAACCCACACGAACCCCTACAGGCATAGTGGTGAGTCAATAATGAGTGAATTCTTGTGTTTGGGTGAACTATCCCTTTAAGCTATAAATATTGGACAACTGTATCTCTTGACAAGGCAGCCGTCCTGATGTGCTGATTTCACTCTGATCATGTGGCAGGGACGTTTCTACTTTCCTGAATAAACAAAACCTTGAAATAAGTAGGGCAACACTGTCTGGTGTGGTCCTGTGTGAGAGGTGCTGGATAGAAGAGTCTGTGGAGCATGTGATTTTGAGTTGTGGGCAGTATGTGTCACAGAGGGGGGTGATGAGGAGTAAAAAACCAAAGTGAAATCCAACMCTCTGGAGGAACATCAAAACACTGTAAATTCAATTTGAGCAGTGTGTCAAAAAATCCTTTTAGGGTAAAATCAGTGCTCTTTGAGTAACACTGAAACTTTGAACTGAAGTTAAACGCAACTTTTTAACAGGAATAATTCATCGCCCAGTAACAAACACACCCAAGCACATACACATCAGATSAGGGGTAATTCAAATTCAAAGAGGTCCGGTGAGAGGGAATTACCTCAAGCAAAGGTCCTGAAACATGATGTCTATCATGCGTCATGATTCAGTGCCACATGTTTGAAGTAGCTTAGCAGTTGTATCAATGTCTGTATAAAGTCAAATACTGACTGTCAAATACAATAAAGAAAGAACAATTCAATGGTATTTCAACAATATTTATTATTAATTTTCACATTAAACTGGAGGGTACTCTAATAATAAAATAAATGTTATTTTGTCATTTCAAGGAAAATGAGGTTTGCATTCAATAACAAAATAAAGAGCTTTTGAAAAAGGCATCTTAAAATAAAGTGCTTAATTTGAGAACAAAAAATAAACAGAGTCTGGGTGTTGGTCCTTTAATGGTCGTGGGATCGTTTGGTTCAGTTTCACTCTTCGGGTGAATTCATGCTCTCATGGACACAAGCAGTGATCCAAGTGGGCAGGGAGCGTCAACAAAATGCAACACTGAAAACATATTCTGCACAAATGTTCAATGGTATCACTGCTGTAAAATGTTGAGTCCCCCAAATGAATACACAGACGAATGTTCTCTTCCTGGTCAGATTACAACTCTCATTTTGGAAAAATATGTTATATATTATTATGATTAATAACTCCACCTATGTGGAATGTAAGTTCACCGAACTCCCTTCTCACATAAATTGTCGGTTTTTGTTCAGTGATTCCTGTTTTATTTATTCATTGACTTCCTGCCTTTGTGTGTTTYCCTTTTGTTTWGAAGATTTGCTCCTGRWTAGTTTCACCAGCTTTTCCTGTGCGACCTGTTTGTAGTTTGTTAGTTTCAGTTTGGATTTAAGTCAAATATGTTCAGTCTTTGTGGAGTTGTYTGCTTTGTCTGTGTCCCTGCCTGCTTGTATTCATGATCCTGCCCTTTTTAAATGTTTCAATAAATTCTGTTTTGTTGGACTTGATCTGCCTCACTCCTGCATTTGTTGCATCATGTAAGAAGAGATATTGCTGAAGAAATTCTGAAAGGATCATTTACTTTGTGAAATATTAATTATATGTTGAGTATTTCCCACTACAAACTCAACCATAATGTACTTCTATTTTCTTCAGATAACAGGGAAGAGTTCTGTTTCTTCAATAAACAGAAACAATTGTCTTTCGTCTCTCCCCAGGAGGAGACCATGTATACTGATGTGTGACCCTACATGGTAGAAGGGTGGATTTATTTACTATGTAACATGAGAGGTTGATGTAGGGTAGTTTGACCACAATATGAAGAAAGAACAATATGGAGACAGATAACTTTCTGAAGCAACATTTTTCTGTTCACCACAAATCAGCAACACATACTTCCTGCTTCTCACTCTCATGTGACTGAACTAACCGATAAGAAGCTGCCAGGAGAGCTGTATCTGGTTGTGTACATTCATTTGATTGGAGGGAGGCTTCGCTTGTGGGTTTAGATCAGAAAACAATTTTGATGCTTTGGATTTGAGTTTTTGGATTTAGGATTTGGTGTTTGGCATAAAATGGTTTGTGACTGGATTAGGATGGCGACTCGGGATGAGGATGATGATATGGATTTWGATGAGTGGACCCCAGCGCAGAAGGCTAATTTACAGGGACACAGCAAAGAACATCCAATACAGGACACTTTAAAACCTTGTTGGGAAAAGGAGCTTTAGATGGACAGCAGCACAAAGAGCAACAGAACTAATCATAGCAGAATTAGACTTCAGTCCAACAACCATTACCAGCAATAGCATCTTGGATACTACCTGATGCTACTGTAGATTTCACACTTTAAAAAAAGAAAACATGGTTAGAGGGGCTATTTTTAATTCACATTCAATACAGGCACATATCGACAGTTACTACAGTTATGTCCAGGTTTAAACTGATACAGCAAAGAATTTATTCAATAAGGTGGAAGATGCAATTATAATTAAAGAATTCCATATTCAAATAGGGAAAAGATGAGTGAGGGGCCATCGGTATATACAGGAGAAATGATTGCAATAATGTAGCACTACAGTCGATGGAGGACACACGGCGTTAAGAGCAATTATTTGTTCAGATTCAAGTTTATYATTAGCCGRCATASAGAACAGTCATTCAGAGAGCAGGCGGGACATTTTGATTGAAATACAACAAATACTATACAAATGGAGAATGTGGAGAATAGCTGCACTGATGTGCAGAGACTAAGAGCATCATTAAACAGAGGTTGAAGGAAAGGTGGCAGAAGCAATGGGAGGAAGACAGGAAGGATGATGGTTTTATCAAATTCAAAGTGGGAAGTGGGAAAAATGGGACGGACATGAAGAAACCAGAGAGAATAAACAATAATATCAAGACTCAGATTTGGAAACAAAGGACTAAAAAGTGCAGGAAGACATGATACAGGGAAATTTGATTATTGTGGGTGTAGTGGAAATTTATCTTGAGATGTGAAATAAAGAGTCAGACCAGAGTTGTCTTTGGGTCTTTAATAGAGCTCTGCAGAGAGTTTCACACTCAGCATGAACGCTCAGAATGGAACTTCGAATAGTGAAAGAAGAAGGTTTTTATAAACTGTCATAAACAGGAAACATAAGTGTGGAGGTGAAGGGGCGGAGAGAGCACCTTCACCTGCACCACAGAGGATCAATCAGCACASGTGAGAGCTGTTAGCTGATTGATCCTCAGACTTTAAAAGGAGGCAGCAGAGCTGCCTCGGGGAGAACGCGCAGGACACTGAGGACGCACTAAGAATACACTTGGGGAGAAGACACTGGAGACTGGGGTGAAGCTGAAGGTCCAGCAGATAGTGCTGGACCTGTTAAGTTCCATGTTTTGTGTACGTTTCAGTTGGACCTTAAATAAAGAAAGATGCTAAACAAGCAATGGTTGGACTGGTCTGTCTCTGGCTGTCGTGAGGGGAACCCCGTGGCGTGGTCGAACGCCACAATAAGAGAGAACTGTTACTGAAAGAGGGTATGAACACTGAAGCCACCTGTAGTCTGGTTCACACAGGAAACTGTTTGCTCTTGCTTCTGCATGAAACAGGAAGTTTTCTAAAAGCACAGATCAACAAGAGGATCATGAACTTTGAGGTTGCATCAGCCAAGTGCACAGCAACACTCAGGCCATCTCTTAGTTAAAGGTAAAAAAGAAAAAAGGTATTTTTGAATCATCTGTCTGCACATGCACCAGACACTTAGTGTTTCAAGTTGTCAGAGCATGAACATGTCATGCTCTGACAACTTGAAACTGTATGTGTTTTTCTGTCTGTGTCTCGTTCCCTATGCAGTATAACTGATGTATTTTATATAGTTTCACCACAATTCAATTGACTCAATCAACCAATGTTTTAAAACATATTTACATTCATTTTTAACGGCATGTTTCATGTTCTTACCAAACCTTCTTTCAACATATATTTGTTTAGACAGTTAAAATTAAATTAAACTTAAGATATAAATTAAAACAATTAAGCTGCATATGCTCTATATTCCTCTCTGTGACTCAGTTTCTGTCTCTCATTTGTCTATCAATCTGTTTGTGCCTCTCTCATGTGTCTGTCTGTTTGTCCCTCTGCCTGTTTAAGTCTCTGTTTGTCTCTCTTGTCCTGTCTTTGAATGTTCGTTCCTTTGAACACATATTTATAATGTTCATTTATTTTTCATAAAATGTTTTACAATGTTTTAACAAAACTTGAAATTCACAGAATACACTGCACAAGTGAAGAAAACCTTTTAACAAACCTCAACATAACTCCCATGTTATTCACTGAAGAAAGTGCAGAAGTGAACAAAAAACATCGATTCCATGGTTCCCATCATTTTCAAGTGGGTTCACTTGTTGAATAATGTTCATTGTGGTCTCATTAATGGTTCCATCTATGTCTGGAATTACAACATTATTATTGATTTGAAGTTCAGGTAATGGCCCTTCTTCATCAATGCCATAGTAGTTATCGGCATCAAAAATGCTGTTTATAGCTGGAGGAATTCCTGCATTATTAATGACACCTGAATGCCCCAGCTTGAAGAGGTGTCTGCCCCCCTTGTGAGGAGAGGCCATGGTTGATCCATTGATTGATGAATTCTGTTACTGCTCTTTCAATCCTTGGTAAATAAACATAATGCAGACAAAATAAATGTAATTCATTCAATGAATCCAGTACACCCTGTTCCTCCATGAAGTTAACTATGTTTAGAAAGTGTCTAGATACAACTCTATTGAGTTCTGCCCATAGTCTCTCAATCCTTTGGTTGTGTACTGATACACCTGTAATAACACTGTTCAGTCCTCTTCTTTTCAACATAAAAGCAGCAACATTTATATTTTCCATGCCATGATCACATCTGACCCTTAAGGGCAAGCCAAAGTTCTTTACTATACATATAAATAATACCAAGATGGTTGAGGCTCTGTTGTTGGACAAGCACCGTAATTATATAATAGTCTGGCTGAAGCCATCCACACAGCCATGAAAGACCATACGCCACCTGACCAGCTTGTGGTTGCCGTCAAAATGCCTATTGGGATGAAATTATATACATAAAACTATATATACACTGTATGTATGTGTATACAGTATATGTATATGCATGCCACACACACACACACATATATATGTAGTTGTTTTTCTTAGATTCTTCGATGTATAGCAAGACGACATCTAAATGATCGGCCAATAGGTTTCACTTGATGCAGGCTCTGTATCGGGGCCATCCTTGATTGCCAGTCAAGGTTGTTGGAGGTACCAAATTTGTGGTCACTTCAGTGGATCTCTGTCTGGCCTCATGTTCATGCAGCAAGTTGTGAAAGCATAAATATAATGATCCTAGAAGGTCACTGACATCCCTATCATCACACACAGCAAGAAATGCTGATAGAGATCGAGTATGCTCATTAAGCTCTCTATAAAGCCTCTCCTGGTGGAAACGGTTGGACTCCTCTCTTTGCAGCTTCTCAATGCATTGCAGAGCACTAGTGAAAAAAAAAAAAAAGAAGACAACATCCTCTTCATTGCCTCTCATTTCAAAAAACAAAGCTTGAACTTGAAAAACGAAGAATATTAGATGAACATACATTGTGGTTGAAGCAAGGGTTGAGGTACATCAAACTCAGCAAGAGCACATGCACTTCCCTGTGTGGAGTCTTCCTGTTTCCGTCAGATGACAGGAAGGCCTTGTTTAACTAATTTTCATATTCACTACTGAGCTGTTATAGTTTACAATTCTATTTCAGAGCATTTCAGCTGTGTATATGAGCACATTTTACTAGTATGATGTAAAGCTTTTTAGTTGTTTATGCAAAAAGTTGAGTGTGTAAGAGAGAATTTCACTTGTATGTGTGAGAGCATTTCAGTAGTGTATGTGAGCGAATATTTTTTCAGTTGTTTATGTGAGAGTGTTTCAGTAGTGTATGTAAGAGCGTTTCACATGTGTGTGTGTGAGAGGTAATTCTGAACATGTCCCAGACAGCCCCTCATACCTGCCCCCCTCCCCCACTCACTCGATCAGAGCGACACACACAGTGAGATCAGAGCTCGTTCATCAGAATCAGAATCCTTTATTGTCAATGTCACCAACATTAAAACAGTGAAAATTGTTTTAGCAGCTCTTCTTGTTGCAGCAGCATTTAACTGATTTTAGAAATCAGAATAAGAATCAAGAAGTAAAAATCTAAATATACCTTTTTTTTAATAAAAAACACAGCTAAAGAGAATAAACATAGTACAGTGTAACAGCGTAATAACAGTGCAATTTGTACAGTAGGACAGTCAACCTGATTATTAGTGCATAATGATTTCGTGCAAAAATTATAGCTTCAGAAAAAAATTCACAGTGAATGTTTTCTCCTTGGGTAGACTGTGTGTGTGTGCGTGCGTGTGCATGTGTGTGTGTGATGTTTACAGTCCATGGGTAGGAGCCGTTTAACGGTCTTGTGGTTCTGGCTTTGAGATAGCGGTATCTCTAACCAGAGGGGAGGGGGGTGTCAATAGGGCATGTCCCGGGTGTGTGGGATCTATGCTAATGTTACTGGCCTTCTTATGGAGTCGGCCAGTGTAGATGTCTCTGAGGGGGGGCAGTGTGGTCCCGATGATTCTCTAAGCTGCCCTCACCACCCTTTGCAGCTCCCACCTGTCCTTGACAGTGCAGCTGGCAAACCACACTGCACAGCAGTAGGTCAGGATGGACTCTATGGTGGCCCTGTAGAAGTTGACCAGGTAGGTGAGCTTGCTTCAGCTTCCTGAGGAAGTAAAGGTGTTGATGAGCCTTCCCCACCTGATTAGAGGTGTGGACAGACCAGGTGAGGTCAGCTGTGATGTAGACTCCAAGGAATTTGAAGCTCTCCACCCTCTCAACCTCCTGTCCATCAATGGAGAGGGTGGGGAGCACAGCTCTCTTCCTAAAATCCACAAACATTTCTTTTGTTTTGTTTGTGTGTAGGTCCAGGTTATTGTGGGAGCACCAGTCTGTCAGGCGTTTGACTTCCTCTCTGTAGGCTGACTCATCGTTGTTATTTATCAGTCCTACGATGGTGGTGTTGTCGGCAAACTTGACGATGGTGTTGCGGGGTGGATGGGGTAGCAGTCGTGGGTGAAGAGGGAGAAGAGGAGGGGGCTGAGGACACAACCCTGTGGGGTTCCTGTGTTCAGGATGAGAGTGGAGGAAGAGTGTTCTCCCATCCTGACACGCTGAGGTCTGTTGCTGAGGAAGTCCATTATCCATGTGCACAGTGAACCACCTGAGCCCAGGTTGCTTAGTTTTGGGATCAGTTTATGAGGGACGACTGTGTTGAAAGCTGAACTGAAGAACAGCAGCCTCACGTAGGTGTTGCTGTGATCCAGGTGAGTGAGCGTGGAGAGCCATCGTGACAGCATCCTCCGCCGACCTGTTTGCTCTGTAAGTATACTGGTGTTGGTCGAGGCCAGCAGGGAAGGCAGACCTCATGAGGGGGGTGATGAGTCTTTCGAAACACTTGGTTATGATGGGAGTGAGAGCAACCGGGCGGTAATCGTTCAAGCAGTTCACTGTGCTTTTCTTGGGTACCGGGACGATGGTGGCTGTTTTAAGGCAGGAGGGAACAACAGACAGCTGAAGTGAAAGGTTGGAGATTTTGGTGAATACCTCTGTCAGCTGGTCTGCACAGGCCTTGATTACTCGTCCCGGGACGCCATCTGGACCAGTTGCTTTCCTCGCTTCCACTGTGCGCAGGGTGGCTCTGACCTGGTGTGGTGAAGCAGCAGGTCAGAGACTTAGTTGAAGAACAGTGGAAACAGTGAAACACAGTTTCTCTGGCCACAGCTGCTCAGTGATCAGCTGCTTCATGATCAGAGTCACAACCAGCTGCAGTTGGTTTGATTCGAGCTGCAGTTTCTGTTTCCTCCTCCTCTCTGACCAGCTCACACACACACGAAGAGTAAAAACAGAAGTACATCAAGTGAGTAAAAAGCAAAAATAGTGAAATGAAACTACACCATGCAGACGTTTTGCAGCAACTCATCGCTAAAACCGCGGATTCAAAACAACCGATGCAGTTGGTTTGATTCGAGCTGCAGTTTCTGTTTCCTCCTCCTCTCTGACCAGCTCGCACACACACGAAGAGTAAAAACAGAAGTACATCAAGTGAGTAAAAAGCAAAAATAGTGAAATGAAACTACACCATGCAGACGTTTTGAAGCAACTCATCGCTAAAACCGCGGATTCAAAACAACCGCAACTCGACAGATCCCACGTGTGCAAACTGGCGCCAGGTTCTGTCCGCGCACAGAAGATAACAGAGTTGGTGGCTGTCTTTATATGCAAGGACCTGCGGCCGTACAGTGTCGTCGAAAGCGAGGGTTTTAAGAAGATGGTACACATGCTCGAACCATGATACGCCATACCAACACGCAAACACATGACAGAAGTCGCCGTCCCGAAGCTGTAGGGAGAGAAAAAGTCAGCGGAAAGAAATACATAATTAAGTTACATGCACTTTAGGTCAGTGTTAATACAGCACTGTCATTTTTTTTATACTTTTGTACGCACCATGTACTAGTATTATTGAGCTGATGTTTTATTACTCAAAATGTTGTGAGTTGTTTTACAATTTCCAAGAGGAAAGAAACACATAATTTAAGTTTACATGCACTGTAGTTCAGTGTTAAAGCAGTGTCATGTTTTGTCATGATATGAGTTATACCATGGCTGTTCATAAGGCATGGAACTAAATAAATCATTATTTTAAACAATTATCTGATACTCCTGTGTATTTCTACTTGATGCTGAATCGATATCGAAGCTTTTCAATCAATATCGAATCGAATCGTGACCTAACGAATCGAAATCGAATTGAATCGTGAGATTCTCAACAATAACCAGCCCTACCACATTCTGCAAAAGGAAAGAAGGAGAGTGACAGACAGAGATGAGGGGATGTCATCGATGATTTCCGCATCAGATTATCAGACAGTGATGCAGTAAACGAACTTGAAAATCACCACAGAGGTAGCTGGGGACATGTAGAACAAGAATCCGGTGGAGTCGGCAGAAAACAATTCGATTCGTGTCTGAATGAAGTTTTTAAATCTGACTGTGCAGAAATGAGGGGGATTCTGAATGCGCTTCAATAATTTTGTTCTATCATTTTGTTTGAATCATTATAAAAGAATGTAGCGAAACGAAAACAAAGTGACAGCAGATGTGTGTAGTTCAACACATGAAATAAGAAGAAAAAGCTACTTTGATATGAATTTCTGAGTTTGCGGGGAGCACGTGAATGCACTATGAAACCACCGTAGGACGCGATGTAGACGGGCACTCTATTTTCCAGTGTCGATGGCGCGACTGCACCCCTCCGCAGCGCAGATATTCAGTGAATAGCAGATTAAACATCTTCACCGCAGTGTGAACCTGCAGTCTATAGTGTGAACGCACCCTGACGACATGTTGTCGACGTCACTCGTGTTAGGTAGGAGCCACAGACACCCTCGACTGATTACGCGGCTAAAGCTAATGTTAGCTCAGGACGGACCACTCCCCGTCGTGTTCACCCGCTGCTGGCTTTTCTTCCGCAGGGCTCCTCGCCGTGTTCTCGGTGCCAGGCTCCGGCTGTGGGACGCAGGAGTATCGAACCCAAGCAGGAGAGTGCTGCCCCATGTGCCACCAAGGTACGAGACACTGCGGCGTCAACTGCTCGTAGTGAAAGTGAAACACCCTCCAGTGTGCAGCGATGGTGGTGACGCTGCTCTGGGGTGAAGACGAGCTGTTTCCTCACAAAGTTATTTACGGGGCACGTTCAGCAGATCAATCCGATAGGTGAGCCTCGCTCTGATTGGACGGCGTGTTGCAGGGGCTCATGGGAGCGTTGTGTGTTTCAGCGACGTTTCGCCATATGAACAGATTATTTTTTTCAGTAACGGGTAATCTAATCTAATCTAATCTAGCTAATTACTACTTCCATCGTTACACCGCCGTTACTGACAATTAGACGGGGCGCGTTATGAACCACAGCCGTCTGTCGTCATCGGACATGGCTCTCACTGAGCCTCAGCAAGGCTGGGCTTTCTTTGGGGAGGAGAGGAGGAGAGGGGAGGGGAGGGGAGGAGGGACAACCGCACAAGTGATGATGATTGGCTAAAGTGGAGGAAAGTTTCATGATAGGCCAATCGGATTTTAGGCGCTTAAGTTGGATTTGTCCAAGTAATCCATATTTTCTGTGCTATTTTAAAAGCACTTCATACAGTGAAACTGTTTCTTTTGTTTTTAAGACCATACTTGAAGTGCAGTATGTCTCCCAGTTGTGTGAAGGTTTGATTTGTTGAATTTACACTACAGAGAGTTAAAGCACTTCATAGTTAAACTGTTTCCTTGTATTTGGAAGAAAATACTAGAGGTGCAGTATTTACAGAGAATTAAAAGCACTTCATATTGGTGAAGTGTTTACTTTGATTATTAAGAAAATACTTGAACGGTACAGTATGTCCAGAGAGTTAAAAGCACTTAATTGTTATATTGTTAAACTGTGTATTTTTGTGATGAAGAAAATACTTGAAGTACATTATGCCTACCAGTTGTGGTCTGAGGTGCAATAAATATTAAAAGTTCTGTGTAAGTTCCTCACTATGCAATTCTACTCTATGCAACTGGCTTGTGAAACCTGCTAAGAAAAAAAATCCAAATTCTTAGACATATTTAAACTTAAAAAAAGAAGAGTAACAATAGTTACTTTCTCTGGTAAATAGTTACTTTTATTAACTTACCTTAAAAACTTATTTGGTAATGCAAAATTTTATTTGGTAAGGTGTTTGCAAGAAAGTACTCTGATCAATCCTTATCACTCTCTCACGTGCTCGCCACAATATTAAATACCATATATTTCCCTGGAGGTAGATTGAGTCCCCTCCAGAGAACAAGAATGAGCTTTTTCAGAACCTCTGATAAGGGCCACTTAAAATAATTAAGATTACTTTTATTGTCATGTTGCATGCAATCCACACACAGTAAATTACACACAATTGAAATGTATCTTGCTCTCCCTCAGATCACACACACAACACATGCTCAGGTGCACCTCAGCAGCTCACCAGACAGCTTACTTGGTCCAGATGGGGACTGGGCAGCTTTCCCTGGACTGTGCCATTGCACCACTGCACTGCACTGCCCCTGTCTAATAGATAAACAAATGCATTTTTTTAATTTTTTATGAATGAGTTCCATTTACAGTGCTTCCTGGTATTGTGCATGCTGTCTCACTGTCACACAGCCATGTTTTACTGAGACACAACTGCACGTTGTTAAAGGGAGAGTTCACTGAAAATGAAAATGCACTCATTATCTACTCACCACTGTGCCGATGGAGGGGTGGGTCGTGGGTGACGTTTCCACACTTCCGTCCACAAAACACTTTTAGAGTCTCAGGGGTAAAGCGTGTTGCAGCCAAGGTGACCTTTTCTTCAGAAGTAATAAAACGACAGAAAAAAACACAACCTGCTTCTATACTGCAGCAGAATACCCCTCACCTGACCCTCCCCTTCCGAATGAAAGAACTCAGTTGTCAGTAAAACTCAATATGTGTTTAGTTTGTCCAGATTGGTCCTCTGTAGAAAACATGGTGGTGTCCGTAGATCCTGATCCCGATGTGATACAAGCATGAGCATTGTGCTGTCTTCAACAGGAACCTTTGTTCAAAGTGACTGCACACTGTTGTCAGGCACACGCTGCAGGCCCTGTGACAATGGTACTTACATGACTCAACCCAATGGTCTAAAGAAGTGTTTCCCCTGCTCTTCCTGTGTTGCAGGTACAGTTTCTCACCCAAAAATATTTAATAAATCAAAATTATAGTACGTAATTAAAATGTAAAATAAAGGCAATATAATTTTCATCTTTAAGTTTTATCTTTTTTTTTTAGAAAATGGTCTCTTTGTCTGGCAGAAGTGTACAAACAAAAGTGACACAGTTTGTGGTGTGTCCAATGGATTCTTCTGCAAAAGTCTGGCTGGAGATACAGGATGCAGCATGGCGAAGAAACATACACACTGTGTTGCTGGTCAGAGGATAAAGGAACCTGGTAATAATAATGTGTTGTTTAACATTTTTTCCCAGTCTGATAAATTGTTTTTACTGGATGTTGACTTCTGTCATGAATGTAATGAATCCCACTTTTCTTTTTCTAAGGAACCCACAGAACTGATACAGTGTGTGAAGACTGTCTGACAGGCTTTTTTTCACATGATGGTTTGACGTGCGCACCATGGACAATGTAAGACATTTTCTTTCTCTCCCACCGTGTTGGCAACACCCAGTGGCTTGAGGCATAATGATAAACACTATTTCTTAGTAACACCTTGAAGAAATTTGGTACGAAATGTTCAGTTGGACTCAAAGATGAACAAATTCGATTTTTGCACAAATATTCACTGAGTCAAGGACGATTTTGAGGAAACTGTGAATCATCTAAAATTTTGCTCAAATCTTCTGTCCGACTTACAAATTATCTGATTAGATTTTGTTTGTTAAAGGTCATGTTGGCCTCACAAAACATGTTTTTGCATACCATAAATTACCAAATAATAGCCGGGGCGTTTGTTTGTTTTAATCACTTAACAGACCAGGCATTTATTTGGAACCAGGCGTTTAATTTCTTTCTCACAAAATCCTTCTGGGCAATAGTTGTACGTCTTCTGCAAGTGAAGTTGTTGCTGCGGAGGAAACGATTTAGCCAACCAGCACTCGCGGCAAACTCCTCAGCTCGGCTGTCACTCACGGTGGCGCAGATTTGTATCGCCATCGCCCTGGTCATTTTGCGGGACACTCTCTCGTGGCGTGTGTCCGTTTGCTGATAACCCATTCCCGGATATTTATCTCATGCTCCTCGCTAGCCTTCTTCCTACCTCCACCAGGCAGCCTGGCTCTTTCACTGTCCTCCTCAGGCAGACGCTGAAACTGATTGATTTTTTTCTCCAATCTCTCACTCTCTTGGGGTCGACAGAGAAACGTCTAGCGGCTGCTTCTCCCGAGTTTTCCTCTGCATATTTTCAAACAGTTTGAAGTTTGAAGTTCAAGTCGTACTTTCAATTTTTTTGCTGCACCAGAGCCATGGCCATCATCAGAAAGCAAGCACAATACGTGAAAAAGGCAAAGAAGAAAAACGTTTTCTTCTTTGATTTTTAAAAAAATTAATTAGACCCGGCATTTATTTGGAACCAGCGGTTATTTATCAAAATATACGCCTGCACCCAGCGTTTAAAAGGGGACCCTGCAGTTAATTGAAACCCGGCTATTAATTGGTAATTTATTTACGGTATTGATGTTTCAAGTCTGCCTTAAGAAATTATGACCAGATGTCACCTGGACTCAAAGATGAACTGATTAGATTTCAGTGGCCAAAGGTCACATTGACTTCATGAACTTGGAAACAAAATGTATGTAGACTGCGACTGCAATGATTGGCAGAAGAAGAAATCCACAGGGTGATAATTCTAGTTTTATTATCAAATGACTGATCAGTGGCTGATCAGCTGTACCCAGAGGTTTATCATCATCATGAGAAATGAAAGCAAATAACTTGAGAAACATAATAAATGTAACCATTAACATTCACTCATGCTCTGTGGCTTGTATAGACAGACTGAACAGGCCCAGTGGATTCTTGTCTTGCACTGAAACGATGTGGCTTTAAAAGAGGTTAAACTGTTGGCACAGAAGAGCAACTCTTCCTCAGGTGACTGATAATGTCAATGCACGTCATGATCAGACTGTGTCCCAACAGTCCGTCACCTGTTACATAGACATGATACCACAGCAGGGCTGCAGTGCAGGAAGAGAAATTTACATGTTAGAGTGCAATGGTGCTACAACCACTGATGCGGTTCTATAGAGATACTGGGAAAAAGGAAACCTATGGTATTACATATAAGGAAACATGGACATTTGGATATGTGATCAAACTGCATGTTTCACTTTAGGTCTTAGCATGATCTGACCTGTGAAGATAATGTGTCTTAACTTTATCTCAAAACATTTCAACTTGTAAATACTCTGTTGAAACATCACATAGATTTACTTTATATAAGATGTCTTGAGTCCATATTCAAAAAAACTCTATTTGCTCACTGTTATCCTCTGTATAAGACCGTAATACACCAATTTGCCGCTCTGCATTTCATTCATTGGAAAAACATCTTGTGATGTGCTGTTGTGCTTGCATTATATTTTGTCTTCATTTTTGCATAATCGTGTGTTATGTTACTGTGGTATTCTAACCTGCCAACAGTATGAACATGTGAACAAGCTTTAAGCTGTTATCTGGGGTAGTGCAGCAAATGGTGAAATTAATGTTTAACTGTACATGGTCCCTCTCAAACAAGTAAAATAGTCTTTCACTTCTCTTATCCAACAGTTGCTCAGGAACCCAAGTTAAGGTAAAAGATGGAGACCCATATAGTGATGTCGTCTGCTCGTGTTCATCAAGAAATACTTTTGAGAAATTGCTTTTTTTTGTTTGGCTTTGTTACATTTGTTTTTTTGTATGACCCATAGACTGTAAATAAAGCACACACTGACAAATACTGAAATTTAGTGTTTTGATTAACGATAGGAAAAAAACTCCATGCACAAACACCACTGATTTTCCAATTTGGCCCTCTTGCTACAGAACTGTTAGAATAGCTCTGTCCTATACACTGGTCCTTTAACTCTTTATCCACTTAACTGTTCCCAAAGACCACACAAATGTATCATTACATGTTAATAACTTGATTGTGATATGACACTATTTCTGTTTCACCTGTTGTTGAAGTTAAATTTATCTTCAAACCTTTTTACAGAATGGCTTTTGTAGGTGCAAGTTAGTATTTTTTGTAATGTAAAGTTTGTTGCTATGGTCACATACAGGGATCTGAGTCATGTGGTGGTGGTATGTCAGCAGGTAGTAAAATCAGCTGTTCCTCACCGGGTGAATAAAGGAACAAGAGGGTGAGGGGGGTTGTCCTACTTTGCTGACCACATGATATCAACCAAAGAACTAAATGTAATGTTTATTGGACAATGTGAACATTCCACTGCGTTTTTTCCCAGCAGAAATAACTATACACAAACCAGCAGTCTTTTGCATCGAAGTTTTTATTGAACAGCCAGCGCGTCCGGCAGGTAAAGTTTTTTCCACTGCTTAGCCTCTTGGCGACTATAGTGTTGTGAATTTGATGGTCACTCTACAGCTTTCATAAATTAAGTACATTGTTATTAATGCCTTTCATGAATTTTTTTTATAGATCACTTATATTTTGGTCATTTCAATATTTCAACATTTTGACTTCACTCTTGCTGCTTTCCAATTTTTACTTTGTAAACTGTATTTTTTCAGGGCGCATTGTCACTGTGCGTATGTCCATGACTGTACATAAAGATGGATGACATGATAGCTCCCATAACAGAAATTCAAAACATCTCTATCGCTCCCTGGTGGCTGAGTGCAGTATAGCTGACAAAGCATTGTGGTGAGATGTCATGATTGACAGCTGTAATTGACTCATGATAGTGTTGGTCAGATATATTGGGCGGGACCTTGATACTTCAGCTCCTCTAACCAATCACTTGTGTGCCCATACATGCACTGACCAATCACAAGTCAGTCTCAGCTGTCAGTCATGACGTTTCAAACCCATTTTATAGTGTCAAATAATGAATGAAAAGTAAACATACCAGATAAAGGAAAACACATACACCAGCACTTTTAATTTGGTCCATGTCCCATCTGCTAAAGTTGGTGGAATGTAAATAAAAATCAAGTTTCAGAGTTTGTGTATATAATGTATGATGTGTAAGGAGTACGGAGGTGGGCAGATTGATTTCAGCACTAGTTTGAATCTGACCAGATACCAAGTCGATGATTTATTTAAACGTACTGAAGCCTCAACTAATCAGACATTGAGCACATGCCTCTTAGCTTCACTGCACAATGTTAGATAATAAGCCAGTCATTGCTTATGTGGAAAAGCATGTTTTGGTGTTAAAACCAAGCGGCAACAACGCGGGCTGAGCGATGAGGCCAATGCCGAAGTGCAAAAAGCTGCAGTTCACTGAGTGGCCACTTGAGGCTGGCTCAATCAATTCCCATTGACTCCCATGTTAAAAAGCTAGACTTTAGAGCAGAATTAAACGTGTTTACAGCCTGGTTCAAAAAACGGTTTTAAGTCTCAATCACTAAGTTGGGGTGAATTTTTGTGGGGCATTGTGATGTCACATAAAATCGTTATGATGTAAAAGTATTATAAGTTTTGTCCTTTTAAGTTTTGAAGGTATGTCTTTTGCAGGTTTGAGTCATTGGAGTCATGAGGCAAAAAGGACAACTTTATTCTTTTAGCTCCAAAGAAGCAGCCTTGAAATTTGCCTCTCGTCCAGACGACTTCATTCTAACTCACTAGTTTAAGTTATATAGCGGTTTGAAATCACGCATAATTAGCTAAATAATAATTAACTTAAGTTAATGTTTTCCAGTTCTTTAGGTGAGTGAAAATATATTTTTATTTCATTTATATATAAGAGCCGTTGACCAACGCAGCCCTATGCGGTCCTGATATTTGTCACATTAAACAGGTACACATTCCAAACGTAGTCTAGAAGTGTGTCAATGTAGAATTGTGGATTATAAATTATACAATGTGAACGTTAAAGTTGTGGGCAATGATGGTGTGTCATATGTAGATTTATGTCATATCATGATCACAGGAATAACAACTTCAATGTTGCCCTATAATCACTGTTTAACTGGAGTTTGTCATTGAAACTAACCGTATTTGGTAATGTCAATGCTATCTACATCTAGCAAGGGTAGATAAC